CTTAGCTGGGAAAGACAGCTGGGTGAGTTTGGGCCAATCGCCAGGAGGTGGTGAGTTCTAGTCCCAACTTAGGCATGAAAGCCAGCTGGATGACCTTGGTGACTCCCCCACCAGGAGACAGGGAGTTCTAGTCCCATCTTAGCCATTAAAGGTACCTGGGTGAGTTTGGGCCAGTCCCTCCCTGTCTCAGCCCACGGCCCACCTCTCAGGGTGGTTGTTATGGGGAAAATAGGAGGAGGAAGATAATGTTGGAGATGTTTACTGCCTTGAGTTATTTGTAAAAATAATAAAGGTGAGATAAAAATAAAAATAAAATTCCGGTTGCTGCTTTGCCAGAAGGGAAGGTCCTCCTTCTGTTTCTCAAAACAAGTGATAAAACTAACCCCAAAGTTATTTTTTTTTCCCCCATCCAAACTGGACTTTCTTGTTTTTCTCTTTGAAAACGTTTCGCTTCTCAACCCAAAAGTTTCAGAACTTCCTCAGAACTGAAGAAGCTTGGATGAGAAATTAAGCATTTTAAAAAAAGAACAAGGAAGCCCAGTTGCCTGTTGTTGTTTTTTAAGCACCTTTGGGGGTCCACCATGACCTGGATGGCTGAGAATCTCCTAGCAGCTTCCTGACAGTGGGAAGTGCACTCTGCTCATGCTCCAGAGCTGTGGGGCCCTGTGCGGGTGGCACCTGCTGCCAGCCGGTGCCCAGTTGCTCCTGGCACAGCAGGCGCCCTCCCTCTGCCCTCTTTGCTGCCCTCCAGACCTGCTGACCGAGGAGCCCCGTCCCGGGCTCAGGCCCGTCCGGCGCTTGGAGGGGGGCCGCCTACTGACCCAGGCCGTCCGACTGAACAACAACACCCTCAACGACCTGACCGATTTCCCAGACATTATGGAGAAGCTGCTGGAGTATCCCCTGGACATCTACTGGATCGACCTCTCCTTCAACGACCTGCCCAACATCGACCCAGTATGCAAAGCCCCCTTTTTAAACTCATCCCTGTGTATATTAACTCATAATATATAATAGGAAGGTGTCAGCTGGACTCTGACACACCATTTGTTTCCCCCTGGACCCCGGTCTTCCCCCCACCTACCCCCTGGATGTATATTCTCCAATGGGACACATCCATAGCCCAGAGTCATCCATCAGGCTCTCCAGTCATATTCTGGCGCTCCGACAACTTTGGGCTGCCAGGGTGATGATCTAGGCACTTAAGGAATGCACTGTTTCCCCCCCACACACTTTCCTTTCTGCTGGCAGCTATAAAGACCAAAGGAGTATATTTTTAGTTGATATTCTCACTGAACGTGAACTTTGGGCTTGGTTGTGGTCGTAAGTCGAGGACCACCAGTATTCCATTCAATTAAACATTGCTGGGTTCCTCCACAAAGCACAGAGGCATAAATCCACCTCAGAGGAGATTTTTTGGGGGGGGGGGGGGGCAGAGAGAGACTGGATGCCCGGTTTATGACCATCATACATACCACCCTTAATAGCCAAGGGGAAGGAATGGGCCGGGCAGCCCTGGGCAGCCGACCTGAAAGGCATAACCAGAGCCCTTCACAGGTGCTCGGAAAAGCCAACAAGGAACAACCAAGCCGTAAAACTAAAACTAGAGTCAACTCTCCCCCCTCCCCCAATATTATTCTTGCCCTTCTTTCCCAGGTGCTGACCACCTTCTACAACCTCCGGAACCTGAACCTTCATGGCAACAGCATCCAGCATCTCTCCGAAGTGGACAAGCTGGCCGTGTTGCCTCACCTGCGCAACCTGACCCTGCACGGAAACCCCATCGAAGAGGAGAAGGGCTACAGGTAAACCCCTGGAAGCTTTGCTCCAGGCTAAAACAGGCGAAGAACCGTTGCAGGCAGAGGTGGATCTTCAGCCGGTTCTGACCAGTTCTGGAGAACTGATAGCGGAAATTTTGAGTAGCTCGGAGAACCGTCCAATGCCGCCTGTGCTGGTTAGACAGTGTGATGACCCAAAGGGGCGTGGCACAAAAGCAACAAAGTCCCCAAAGTAGGTAAAGTCCCTTTAATTCCTCCAACTTGGCCCCCAATATCCAGTTAACATTGGCTGGAGAAAAAGCTCTCCCAAGAACAGTTTTTAAAGGAAAGACATTCAGTCTGAACCCAAAGTACATCTAAATTATAAATAAAAACCAACACAAACCACACTGCAGCAATTAATGAGACAAAGCAGGATAAGGAATTGCAGACTTCCAAAAGATAATGAAACACACACAGTTGGGAAGACACCGGAACCCAGATAAGACTTGACAAACAAAGATAATGCACGCTTTGCTTCCAGCAAGGTTCTGTGCGCAAACGCCCTTTTTAAATACTGTTTTCCCAGCTGCAGCTAATGAAGGGAATCAGGGCCCTTTCCTCTCCCGTAAGCCACATTGCTCCCTTCTCCATTCCTCCCTGCGTGCCCTAGGATGCAGAGGGGCTGGCCCTGCGTCTTCCTCTGAATGCCCAGCCGGACTGTGCCCTTCCCCAATTTCCTCCACAGCCTCCGGAGCCACACTCCCACTCCCTGTTAGCTGCTCGACCTTTCCCTCAGAATCAGACTCCAACAGGGGCTTGACAGACAGTAGTTAATTTAGGAACGAGAGCCGCCCCCTTAAGGGAATGTTTCATGGGAAATGTAGTTCATGCCTCTTGGGAGATATAGCTCATGTCACGTGGTCACATCTGTAATCCTGATTGGTCACTGAATTGATCTCTGGTTGGGCTGGGGGAGTTTTTGGGCATTCTTACCTGGACCTCCTATGCTATGGGTTGAAGATAACCATCTTTTTTCACGCTATCGAGGCAAAGATTGGATGTTAAGGTGAATCTCAGCATAATTGTGAGTTATATTTTGAGGATGCCTAATACAATCCAAAGGAACTTTGCATGGAAGCCTTTCCAAGTCTTGGGCTGCTTGTCCCATGCTATCCCAGAAGCGTGGGGCTAGAAAGTGAAAAGATGGGGGCTTTCTGATTTCCCCTTCCATCGGGGGAAAAGAACCACGACTCTCCGAGGTCCCTTCCCACCCGGTTATCCTGGACTTGGAGCGGCTGTTCTCCAGATCCCAGAAACTTTGCATTAAAACCCCTAAATTCCATGCTGGAAGCTGCCCCGTGAGAAGCACGTTCCCCCCCCCCCCTTTCTGTGTCCAAGCGGTTGATTTCATTGGATGCACCCCTCTCCCTGGGAGTCTTCCCAGAACTGGATCCAGCGCTTCCTTTTGGGTTGGATCGACTCCAGTCCCCAATACCAAAAGGACAAGTTGCTTCCCCCCCCCCCGTGGAATCCTTCAGAACCATCCTCCTTGGGGGGGGCTTCCCGATCTGCTTCAGGTTTTTTGCAACAGAGTTTGCCAGACGAGAACGCCGCTTCAAATTGGCGTTGGTACCGTTTTTAGTAAATTTGGACGAATCGTCGCCCTTCTTGGGTATGCGGAAAGCACGGCCTCCCTTCCCGAGTCATGGAAACCAACCACTCAAATGTCACAAGACTTTTGAGAACACACAAGGTTACACAATGCCCTACAGAGAGACCGATCGGAGCAATGACACATCATGTCAATTGCAACTTCCTGCTACTACCTCTGATTGACACAGGGAAAATCAATCCTGAACAGCCCAGAAGAACCTGAATTATTCTCTTGTTCGGATATCTCCAACCTTGGCAACTTTACGAGTTTGGACTTCAACTCCCAGAATTCCTCAGCCAGCGTGTGCTGGCTGAGGAATTCTGCGAGTTGAAGTCCACAAGTTGCAATGTTGACAAGGTTGGAGATACCTGCCCTAGTTCAGTTATCTATTGGTCCTCCTGCCCTACCCATTGTCTTCTTCCATCCTTGGTCTCCAAGGTCCATCAACTCTTATGGAGTGAGCTGGTTCCAGGCCACGCAGGAAGTCCAACTGGGTGGGCCAGCTTCTTCAACTTCTCTGCTCTTCTTGGACCTCTGCCAACCCACGAGAAACTGACCTTTCACCTGTTTTGTGAGGAGGAGGAGGAGGAGGAGACACACCTCTTGGCTTGCATCCTCATGTAGATTGGAAGGATTCCTTGAGACAAAAGCAACAGAGTTGGAAGGGATGTTGACCACCACCCCCACAGCCTTTTGGACAAGGGGCTGTCCAGTCCCTTCTTAGGACAGGTAGTCCTCAACTTATGACCACCATTGAGCCCGATGTTTCTGTCACTTCGGTGAGAGCGTTGTTCTATTTTCCCCCTATTTTACGACCTTTCTTGCCCCCATTCGTTCAGGGAATCGCTGCCGTTGTTAAGCGAGTTAACATGGTTGTTAAGTGAATCTGGCTTGCTGGTCAGGTGGTTGCAAAAGGGGACCCTGCAACCGTCATAAATATGAAGCGCTTTGCCAAGTGCCCGAAGTTTGATCAGGGGGACACGGGAGGGATGCTGCAACGGTTGTGTGCAAAACAGTCCCATCATGCCCTTGTCAGAGTCTGATTCTGAGGGGGAGATGGAGCAGCCGACAGGGAGTGGGAGTGGGGCTCCGGTGGCTGTGGAGGAAACCAGAGGAGGGCACAGTCCAGCTGGGCATTCAGAGGAAGACGCAGGGCCACCCCCTCTGCATACTAGGGCACGCAGGGAGGAACAGAGAAGGGAGCAACATGGCTTATGGGGGAGGAAAGGGCCCTGATCCCTTTCATTAGTTGCAGCTGGGAGAACAGGATATAAGTGGGGCGTTTGCACACAGCACCTTGCTGGAAGCAAAGCGTGCATTATCTTGGTCGAGGCTTATCTGGGTTTTGGCGTCCTCCCAACTGTGGGTGCTGCGTTATCTTTTGGAAATCTGCAATTTATCATCCTGGCCTGCTGTGTTAATTACTTCAGTGAGGTTTGCGTTGGGTTTTTTTTATTTCTAATTATTTTTACTTTGGGTTCGGACTGCATTTACTCCTTTCATAGACTGTTTTTGGAAGAGTTTGAACTCCAGCTGAGGATAATTGGACATTGGGGTCCAAGTTGGAGGCATTCAAGGGAATTTATTCTACTTTGGTGACTTTTGTTATTTTTGTGTCATGCCCCTTTGGATCATCACAGGCCCTAAGTCACTTTTTCAGTGCTGCCGTTAACTTCCAGTCATTAAATGAGCTGTTGCAAGTTGAGGACTACCTGCATGTGGGGTTCATCCCTTCTGCCCTCCCCGCCTTTGGCAGCCTTCCGTGGGCAGCCCTCCCTCCGTGGCTTCCAGCCCTTCGAGGGGAGGGGAGGGGAGGGGAGAAGGGTCCTGCCCAGGGAGCAAGGGGAATGACCCCCCCCTCTGTCCCTCCCTCCCTTCTACCTAGGAGTTACGTCCTGTCCACCTTGCCCCAGCTGAAGAACTTCGACTTCAGCGGCGTCACCAAACTGGACCGCAGCACCGCAGCCGTCTGGAGGCGCATGAACATCAAGCCGAAGGCCATCCGGAAGAAACGGGAGCGCTACTGATGGGGACGGCCGCCTTCCTGAGGAATAAAGCTTTAGAGCAGCTTCTCCTGGTGAATTGCGGGGAGGGGGGCCAATGAGAGCCAGGGGGGCACAGACATTGGGGGGGGGGGGGGGCAGGGGATTTGCGACCCGATGCGCCTGGAGAGATGCGAAAGGAAAATGTTCTCTGTTCCAAATGGGTGGGGTTTTTTTTTTAGTCGGTTGCGAACGAAGAGTGGGAAATGTTTCCTAGGCCATAGAATAAGAGTTCGAAGGGACACCCTGGAGGTCATCTAGTCCAACCCCCCCCCCACACTCAAGCAAGAGTCTTATCATTTCAGGCAAATGGCTGTCGAATCTCTCCTTCAAAAGCCTCCAGTGATGGGGCACCCACAGGTTGTTGTTTTGGCGTCCCACTGGTTGTTGGTTTTCAGGGTTGGGGCGTTTCTCCTTAGTTGTATCTTAGATATAACGTGTCGCTTTTTTTCCAGTGTTGTAACTGGTCAAGGATAAAATAGGCAAAGGAAGACACACCAATGGGAGGGGATTTTTGTAGTTCAGGGTTGAAACAATGAGTCCTTGGCGCTCTCTGACCTTGGTGGTTTTCTTGCAGACGTTTCATGACCCAACTAGGGAACATTATCAGGAGGAAGGGTTGGAGGAGGAAGACCATGAGGGTCCCTGGTGCTCTCTGACCTTGGTGGTTTTCTTGCAGACGTTTCATGACCCAACTAGAGAACGTCATCATTGTTAGGAAGGAAGAGGTTTGTGGAGCGAGGAGGACTGTGAGGCCCCTGGTGCTCTCGGCCTGTTGATTTTCTAGCAGACGTTTCATGACCCAGATAGGGAACACCCTCAGTGCTAAAGGGAGCATAAGGGCCAATAAGCTAGAAGCTCAGAGAGCACCAAGGACCCACAAAACACGCCCCGTGCTGCTGTGCTACAGAACAGGAAGACAAACTGCCGTGTTGTATCTGTAAGCCAGAAGCCCCCTCCCCCTTCTTCCAAAACCTCCCATTAGAGATGTTCAACGCACACTTGAGTGGGACACGGGCTCTGGCTGGATGGCCTCAAGGCACCCTTCAGGGAATGTCAGTTCGGCCCACTGCCCCCCTAGCTTGCTTGCCATGGGGCCCAGGCAGAAAACGCAGCACACCCTCTTACTTCCCGGCCAAGACTCCAAAGGCTCTTCTGGAGGGGTGCTCCGCCTGCCGCTTCACCTGTACGTTGCACCTGGAGGCGCAGGTCGGTGGTCCTCAACCTCTTCTTCACCACGGACCCCCTTTGAACACCTTTGAACACCAGGGGCCCCCCAAGGCTGGAATCGGATATTTAAAGCAGGGGAGCTGAAGCCCACAAGTCTTAAAGGTGCCGAGTTTGGGGGGCCCTGCTTCAAAGCATCGTGTTCCTTCAAGCCTTGGTGGGCCCCCGGGGGCCAGTGACTCCCAGGCTGAGAACCCCTGCGGTATTCTCCCTGCTTGGCCCCATCAGGTAAGGGATGGTCCTTGACCCCCTACCATGATGGAGCCCCAAAGTTTGGTTGCCAAGGGACCCACCACTTCCGAAGGGAAAGCCCTTCCACGGCTGAATTAGCTCAATTAGTTCTAGGTCGCATTTCTCTTTGTTAAGCTCCCGTTTCTTCCTTTCCCTGCGTCTTTTGGAGAATAAATGTACTCTCTCTTATCTTGGGGCGGCCCTTCAAATATTGGAACAAGATGCTGTCGTTGTCACCCCTGGTGCTTCCCCGTCCCTGCAATTGTTGGGGCCTCCTGGGCCCTTCAGTCCCCCCCCCCCCCCCCCCCCCCGCCCCCCCCCGCCCCCTTCCCCCGAGTCTCGGCCGCTGTTTTTGTGTCGTGGGAGGCTCTCGCCAATGAAAGGATAAAGCCAGCCCTTCCATCCTTCCTTCCACCTCCGGGGTCAAATAAAGAGCGGGCCTTGGCTCGGATGAATATATTTATACTTTTCTTAACCTACTTTAGCAAAACCAAAAGGAGGAGAGAGAGAAAAAAATTAAAACGACAGCCCAGCCAGGTAAAACAGGGGAGGGAGGTACAGACCGAGGAGGGTGCTAGGACCCAAAAGGCTTCACTTCCGTGGTTGTGTGGCTTTTTCTCCCCTCTCCCCCCCCCCTTAAAAAGCTCCAATTCACCTGCGCTCCTTTCCCCCCACTCTAAAACATCCAAAGATGGGGGGGGGACGGGGGGGGCGGAAGGAAGCAACCCGGCTCAGCCAAGGGGGGGTGGGGGGGTGACAAGAGCTCCCCCTAGCATGCTTGTGCCCCTCCCTCCCTCCCTCCCCTCCCCTCCGGCACAAAGTCCACGTTCCAGAGCTACAACCACAAAGGCAAACGCCCTCTGCCTCCTGGCCCAGACCAACCGGGCACCGCCTGGCCCAGCTGGGGGAGAAGAGGAGGAGGAGGAGGACGCCAGGGGATGGGTCTCGCCCGCCTTTGGCTGTCCACGCGTTAAGTGTCCCTGTGGCCGGGTGACCGACCCAGTGTCTCTTCTTGTGCACGGAGGCCCACCGCGGTGTGGAGCCGGTGGAGGGGGAGGGGAGAAACCAAACGTGGAGGAGGAATCACCCAAGCCCAGGCGAGCGGATAGAGGGGCATCAGGGGATCCCAAACTGCACCACCAGGTCTTCTTTCGCGTCCACGCGGATCTGGGAGAGGGCACTGTAGGCGTAGGCAGCTATCCGGGAGACCTGGCGGGAAAAGGGGGGCACAGGCGAGAGGTGAGGGGGAGGGGGCGCAGGAGAAGCTTCTGCCCACCCACCCCCCAGCTATGGAGGAGAGAGACTTCTGCCAGGAGGCTGGCACCCCTGTGGGGGGGGGGGGTCTCTGGTGGCCCAGGGGTTGGAGGGCAGCATTGCCGGCTGGCTCTGCCCAGAGTCACCGTTCGATTCTCACCAGGCTCCAGGTTGAGGTGGGTAAAATGAGGGGCCAGGTGGTTGTGGGGGCCACAGGCTGACTCTGTCAACGGCTCAGAGAGGGCTGGGGAGGCCCTGGGAAGCGGTGCGTAAGCGCTAATCACGGCACGAAGAACGGTGCCATTAAGGCAGGCTGGGTGATTTGGGGCCAATCCCCAGGAGGTGGTGAGTTCTAGTCCTGCCTTGAGAGTCCAGCTGGGTGACCTTGGGCCAATCCTCAAGGGGTGGAGAATTCTAATCCCAATGCCTCATAAAAGTCAGGTGGGAGGCTTTGGGACCCATCCCCACCCCTCTCAGCCCAGCCCACCTCACAGGCTGAGAAAGTCAAGGGGAGAAAGGAACATTGTGTATGTTCACCAACTTCAGTTACTTTTAAAATAAAAGTGGATTGATTAAAAAAAGAACTTCTGCACATATAATATATAAAATGCCGGTGATATTGGTTCTAAGGGACAGAGCCAGCCAGCTCCTGCAGCCGAAAGTCCCAAGAGTCCAGGGGAGCAGAGGGGGGGGGGGGGGGGGGGCCCTGCCCGGCCCGGCGGGGGGCGGGGGGGGGGGGGGGGAGGGGGGGGCGGGGGGGGGGGGGGGGGGCGGGGGGGGGGCAGCCCCAGAGGGCCCCCCAGGAGGCCCGCGAGCCTCCACTTGCCACCAGGGGCAACTGAACCACTCCAGGTGGGCTGGGCTGCAGCCCCTCCCACAACAGGGCCGGCACCCGTTTCATCTTAAGGACCGCCAGAAATTTCCCTCCCCAGGACTGAACATGCCGGGCAGCCGGTTTAAGCACAAGGTGGCCCTCGAGTTACGTCCGCCACCGAGCCCCGAATTTTAAGTTGCTGAGCGAAACATTTGTTGAGTGCGTTTGTCCCAGTTGACGACCCTTCTTTGGCACGGATGTTAAGTCAACCACTGCAGATAAGTTAGTCCCACGGTGGTGAAGGGAACCTGGCTGCCCACCCCCCACCCCCGGATTTTGCCGGTCGTAAAGGTCACAAAAGGGGATCACGTCATCACTGCAACAGTCATAAGGCCATGCCAGTTGCCAAACATCCCAATTTTGATCACGTGACCGCAGGGGAGGCTGCAATGGGGGTGTGTGTGTGAAAAAAAGGGTTCCCAGTTCATTTTTCAGTCCAGTCTCTTCTTGAAAGTCTCAAGTGATGAACCTTCCACAACTTCCAAGGGCAACTTCTGTTCCGTTGGTTGATTCTCCCTGTCAGAAAGTTTCTCCTTATTTCCAGGTTGAATCTCTCCTTGGTCAAGTCTCCATCCATTGTTCCTTGTCTGGCCTTCGGGTGCCTTGGAAAATAGCTGGACCCCTTACTCTCTGTGGTAGCCCCTCCCTCAAATGCTGGAAGGCTGCTCTCCTGCCTCCCCTGGTCCTTCTCTTCCCTAGACCAGCCAGGCCCAGTTCCTGCAACCGTTCTTCATGTGCCTTAGTCTCCAGTCCCCTAAAATCATCCTGTTTCCTCTTCTCTGTATTCTGTCTCAACATCTTTTTTGTGGTGCGGTGACCAAAACTGGATGCGGGACTCCAGGTGTGGCCTTACTAAGGCTTTATAGGGTGGGTATTAGTTACCTCCCTTGATCTCGATTGTCTCCCTCTGTTCATGCAGCTTAGGATTGCATGGGCTTTTTGGACATGTGACGACGGGAAGGCTATGATGGCCATAAGGGTGAGGACCGGTCATAAGTTCCTTTTTCAGCACCGTTGTACGATGCACCCGGGTCGTGGCAAGCCGAGGGCTACTCACAACTGTAACCTCACGGCAAGGCTGCCTGAGAGAGCTTAAGCAGCCCCCCCCCCCCCCCCCCCCCCCCCCCCCGCCCCGGGAACCCCCCCCCCCCCCCCCCCCGCCTGCCTCGCTCAGGACCGCACACACACACTACCCTGCAGCTGACCCGGGGGGTGGGGGTTCTGGGGCAGCCGGACCTTGGCCCCAAGCCAAATACCCACGGCCAGGAGCAGGGCCAATGCTCGGGGTTGGGTAACGGCTACCTGGGGTGGGCCGAGGGTCCCAAGGCTTTCAAGCAGGGAGGTAGTTATCTTTCACAAGACCCCAAGGGGCCTTGTTGGCCCACTCAAGAGCCTCCAGAGCTGGCTCTGCCAACTGGCCTGGCCTGGGGGATGCCCCATGGTGGGTGGAGAGTGGACTAGGAAGAAGATCCCACTTCCACCCTGGACTATTCCAGCTTTTAACTGAATTTCTCTTTATTTAACCTCTGATGCAGGGGTCCCCAAACTTAGCCACTTTAAGACCGGTGGACGTCAACTCCCAGGATTCTCCAGCAGTCTTAAAAGTGGCCAAGTTTGGGGA